TTTAATTTCATTGGGATACCACTTACAAGTTAAACCCCAATTTTACTAAATCAAACTTCATTTTATATATGTAGAAAATATTTTCCTGTGGTCAACGATTGTTATAGAATAATTAAAAATGAACACATCAAATTCATGCAAGAAAATGGCAAAGGGATCTCACTACCCTTAAGCGAACGTTGACAGCTTTTTGGCACATGCAACGATCCTCTTAATGAAATGATCTTTCCATTTTGAGTATTCATTAGTGTCCTATAGTTTTGGTGTCTTATCAAATTCAATGAAAAAAGTCTATCTCTAAGATTTTTGTATATGACCATTTGTTGTACCATTAACAGGTGACTAAACACTCCATCGAAAATTAAGTACTACTTACTAGGAGCATATTTTCTTGTAAGCCTCTCGGTATTTCGTTGGTAAACCATTTTCATGTATATTTTTCTTTCGGCATCTAACGAATGGAAAACATTTGAGAAACCAAAATTCCGACCTACCGGATTCGAACCAGTGACCGAAGGATATTCTGCTTCAACTACAGTCCTCCGCTCTACCAACTGAGCTAAGGTCGGATTTGTAACATACTATATGCGAGTGTACATACTCTAAAAATTGTACAAGCTAGCAACACTTTTCATTGTTTATACAAGTATAACTTTATTCTTCTGGCAAAAGAACACAAGTTTTATTCGGAAAAAAAAAATAGTTCAGGACTTGGCGCCTCATCTCTTAGAGCATTCCCGTTAATCGGAAGAAATTGCAATGATTAAAGTTAACGTGAATTTTTCATATTGGATTGGCCTGCTTAACCCTAGCTAGCTTTTTCCTTTGTTGCCTGATAACAACCTCTTTAATTAAATCTTGTTTCGTTTTATAGAATTTTCATTGATAAAGATGTGAATTATAATATATATGGTCCGTCAAAGTTACACACTTTGGCAGAGAAGATGAAAGATAATGAGAGTTTACTTACCTTGATTTCTTCCTTAAACGTAGAAGTTATAACTACAACACTTTTGTCTACCTTACCGTTTTTTGAAGATTGTCTGGAAAGAAACCAAAACTGCATAACTTATTATGATCAAATAAAAATATGCCCTAATTTCTATTAGAAACCCAAGTCAGTACTATATGCTACTACAAAATATAACTTACCTCGCATATATCATATCAAACCGTTTCTAACTGAGGATGAAAAGTTGTTGAGCAAAAGAGTTCCGATCTACCGGATTCGAACCAGTGACCTAAGGATTTTCTGCTACAAATGTAACATCCATAAACCAAAAATAAAAATTGGGAATTTTGTCGGTTCAATTTAAGTGAATTGGTTTGGGTCGGTTTAGTGGAGAAAGCCCTAAAATCAAGTTTAAAGAGTGCAGCCGTCTTCTCTTTGGAGAATTTTCGAGTTCAGATGCTGTAGAGGAGAAAAGTTGAGTTTTTGGAGAGATTTTCGAATTTTACTGTTCATCGGTACTGTTCATCGGTACTGTTCACGGGTTACTGTTCATCGGTACTGTTCACGGGTTACTGTTCATCGGTACTGTTCACGGGTTACTGTTCATCCGCGATTCGGCACTGTTCATTGTCTTCCTTTTTCCTTCAGTTTCAATCATTGTCAAGGTGAGTGCATGACTGTGGGTCCGTGATTTGCTAGATTAGATTTGGTTTGTGGTTGTTCTTGATGAGTTTATGTTTTAATTGTTATTTTTATGATATTTTGGTTGTTCATGTGATGAATTGTGTGTTTGTGTGGTTTAATATGGTTTATTGGTTTAATTGAATTTAATTGATTTAATTGGTTTATCTTGGTTCAATTGAATTTAATTGGTTTATATTGGTTTAATTGAATTTAATTGGTTTAATGAATTAAATAGATTTAATTCGGATTTAATTAATTAAATAATATTTATTTAATTAATTGGTTTAAAATAATTATTTTAATTATTTTAAAATATGGAAAATTATTATTTAATTATGAGAATTATTTAATAATTGAGAAATTGAGTTTTAATTATTAAAAATTATTTAATAATTGGAAAATGGTATTTAATAATTATTGAAGTTTATAAATATTATTAAATATCTAGTAAATTGCGTAAATGGCTCGTAGGCAGAGTGATTGCCTCACTAAGTATTTATTAAATACTTACGCAACTCCATTCCAATGTGTTGCAGGTAAAAGATTTGTGTGATCGCGGAATCAAGGCTGAAGAGGGGGATGATAGGATGTTTACTGTTTTATTGTTTTGCATTATTTTGCTAGACTTGTTTAATTATTATTTGCTTCCGCTGAGCTGATTTATTTGTTATTGATATTTTATTTATTTAATTTATTTTTAAGACCTTCGCTAGAATTGATTAATATTTATTAAAAAAAAAAAAATGTTGGTTGTTTCATTTTGGTATCAGAGCCTAGACGGTTTTAGGACAGCTAGAATTGCTAGGCTTAGTATCATCCCCTTCAGCTAAAGGAGATTCCGCGGTTAGTTATTGGTGTTTGTGTTTTGTGTTATTGTCTAGTTGCTCATGTTCGGGTCCATGCAGTGAGATGGACGGAGCTCCTAGAGGTCGTGGCGCGAGAGGGCGCGGTGCTAGAGGTCGTGGCGGCAGAGTTGGCCGTGGCGGCAGAGCTGGTGGTAGAGCTGGAGGTCGAGCAGGCCGAGGTCGTGGTCGTGGACTTCCGGAGGAGTCGGGAGAGAGTGCGGCACCGAGTGTGCATACTGCGTCGGTGACCCAGTCAGTTCCGTTGGCGGGTGATGCCAGTGCGAGTGTTGGTATGGGAGCGGGGGCTGCTCCGGGTGGGGGTGGCGCTCCGGCTCCGGGTCATGATGACTTAGTGGTGGGTTTGCTGACGCAGCTGTTGGCTCGTTTTCCGCCGGTGGTTCCACAGGGGGCTCCAGGAGTACCGCCAGTGGCAGAGGTGCAGCATGTTGCTGCAGGCGTTGCGCAGCCGGAGGCTGTGGATGCGGGTGTGACCAGTTATTTGGAGTTTATGGGCCACATGCAGAAGATTGGTACGCCTTTCTTCGAGGGTAGAGTTGGTCCAGAGGAGGCAGACGCGTGGCGTCAGAGAGTGGAGCGGAACTTTCATTCGATCCGTTGTCCGATAGAGTACTGGGTGGAGTTAGCGGTCCACTATTTGAGTGGCGATGCTCATTTGTGGTGGCAGGCCGCGGTGGGCCGGAGGGCATTTTGGACTTGGGGCGACTTCCTTGTGGAGTTCAACGCCAAGTATTTCCCGAGGCAGGCTCGTGATCGTCTTCAGATGCGGTTTATGGGCATTGAGCAGGGTTCGCGTTCTGTACGCGAGTATGATGAGGAGTTCAGCCGTCTGTTAGTGCATGCGGGCTTTGGTATGGAGTCTGAGCATCAGTTGACGAACAGATTTCTGGAGGGACTTCGCAAGGATATTCGGACTCTATGCAGGAGTAGTATGCACACTTCGAGGGCGAGTCTGGTAGAGTTGGCCGCGTCGGTTGAGGCGGATCTTGGTGGGCCAGTTGGTCCGGTGGCTGTGCCGTCAGCAGTTGCTTCTGCTACCCAGCCTCGGGGTCAGCATCAGCAGCCGCGACAGCAGCAGCAGCAGCAGCGCAGAGGTGGTTCGAGTTTCAGTTCTGGTTCTGGCAGGGGCGGTTTGCCTGCGCAGGGTCAGAAGAGGAGTAGAGAGGAGTTTTCTGGTGCTAGTCAGTTTCCTCGTGGTTCCTGTTTTGGGTGTGGGAGCACGGAGCATCGTGTTTCGAGTTGTCCCAAGAGAGAGTCAGCACCGAGATTGTGCTACTACTGCAAGGAGCCTGGGCATATCAAGCCCATGTGTCCTAAGTTGCGGAGTATGTCGGTGGCTTCGGTTCAGCCAGTAGCGGCTCAGCCAGTGAGTCAGATCGCAGCAGTGCAGCCGTTGGGTCAGATTGCACCGGCGTCGCGGGGTTACTCTTCGGTGGAGACTGGCGGGACTAGTCAGACCGGACAGATCACAGGGACCTTGTTAGTGGGCGGTTTTGAGTCCCACGTTTTATTCGACTCTGGAGCATCGAATTGCTTCATTACACCGGAGCGTGCCGAGAAGAGTGGCATCCGGAGTAGCGCGGGCGAGAGCGCGGGCATGGTCAAGGTGGCGGGAGGTGGATTCTTGTCTACTTTGGGCCGTGCTAGAGGAGTCGAGATCGAGATTGCGGGGCAGTCAATGCCAGCAGACTTAGTCATCAGTCCGGTGGAGCTGTATGACGTTATTCTCGGGATGGACTGGTTGTCACACTACAGAGTTCATCTGGATTGCTACAGAGGTAGAGTGGTCTTCGAGCGAGATGCAGGGAGGTTGGTTTATCAGGGAGTGAGACCGACTTCCGGGAGTATTGTGATATCTGCTATTCAGGCCGAGCAGTTGTTAGTGCGGGGCTGTGAGGCGTATCTGGCGACGATTTCTATGTCTGAGTCAGGAGCTGGAGTTGTTATGGGAGATATTGAGGTTGTCCAGGATTTTGAGGATGTCTTTCAGTCACTGAAGGGATTACCACCATCTCGGTCTGATCCTTTCACGATTGAGTTAGAGCCGGGGACAGCACCGATATCGAAGACGCCTTACAGGATGGCGCCAGCTGAGTTGGCAGAGCTGAAGAAGCAGATAGAGGACCTTTTGTCTAAGGGGTTCATTCGACCAAGTGTTTCACCGTGGGGAGCACCGGTGTTGTTTGTGAAGAAGAAGGATGGCAGTTTCAGACTTTGTATCGATTACAGAGGTCTTAACCGAGTCACTGTGAAGAACAGGTACCCACTCCCGAGGATTGATGAGTTACTGGATCAGTTGAGGGGTGCTACTTGGTTCTCCAAGATTGACTTGGCATCGGGGTATCATCAGATCCCGATAGATGAGGCAGATGTCAGGAAGACTGCTTTCAGGACGCGTTATGGGCATTTTGAGTTTGTGGTTATGCCTTTCGGTTTGACTAACGCGCCGGCAGCCTTCATGAGATTGATGAACGACGTGTTCAGGGAGTATTTGGATGTGTTCGTCATCATTTTCATTGATGATATTCTGGTATACTCGAGGAGTCAGGAGGAGCATGCGACTCACTTGAGGTTGGTTCTGGAGAAAGCTTCGGGAGCAGAAGCTTTTTGCTAAGTTGAGCAAGTGCAGTTTCTGGCAGCGAGAGATGGGATTTCTTGGCCACATTGTTTCTGCAGAGGGAGTTTCTGTGGATCCGGCTAAGATTGAGGCTATCAGAGATTGGCCTAGACCTAGTAGTGCCACCGAGATCAGGAGTTTTCTGGGTTTGGCAGGATACTACAGGAGGTTCGTCAAGGGGTTTGCTACCATGGCGCAGCCGATGACGAAGTTGACCGGGAAGGATGTCCCTTTTATTTGGTCAGCTGAGTGTGAGGAGAGCTTTAGTCAGCTCAAGGAGATGTTGACTACTACACCAGTGTTGGCGTTACCCGAGCCAGGGAAGCCTTACATGGTGTATACAGATGCTTCAGGCATTGGTCTTGGTTGTGTGCTGATGCAGGAGGGCAGAGTGATAGCATATGCTTCGAGACAGTGGCAGGGCAGTGAGCGTAACCGTCCTACACATGACTTAGAGTTGGGAGCAGTGATCTTCGCGTTGAAGATTTGGAGGTCTTACTTGCTAGGTGAGACAGTACAGGTCTTCACGGATCACAAGAGTTTGCAGCATATCTTCACTCAGCCGATGATGAACGCGAGACAGACGCGCTGGGTTGAGTTCTTGGCGGATTATCAGGTGAGCATTAACTACCATCCGGGCAAGGCTAACCTAGTGGCGGACGCGTTGAGTAGACGGAGGTATGATTCCGCAGTTGAGCGAGATGTGGAGTCTCTAGTTGGCGAGATCAGTACCTTGCGTTTGTGTGCCATTTCGCATGAGCCTTTGGGTTTAGAGGCGGTGGATCAGGCGGATCTACTTAGCAGGATCAGAGTTGCTCAGCAGAGTGATCAGAGTTTGCTAGATGCGACGAGAGTGACTGGTTCTGAGTATGAGGTCTCTGCGAATGGGACTATCTTGGTTCGTGGGCGAGTTTGTGTGCCTAAGGATGTGGAGTTGAGACATCAGATTTTGGGAGAGGCTCACGCGAGCAAGTTTTCCATTCATCCGGGAGCGACCAAGATGTACCATGACCTCAAGAGGTACTATCATTGGGTCGGGATGAAGAGGGATGTAGCAGATTGGGTTGCGAAGTGCAACACTTGTGCCTTGGTGAAGGCAGAGCATCAGGTTCCGGGTGGTCTTTTGCAGAGTTTACCCATTCCCGAGTGGAAGTGGGATAGGATTACGATGGATTTCGTGGTTGGACTACCTGTTTCGAGGACTTTCGATGCTATCTGGGTGATTGTGGATCGGTTGACTAAGTCTGCACATTTCTTGGCCATCAAGAAGACAGATGGAGCTGCTGTCTTGGCTAGGAAGTTTGTGCGAGAGATTGTGAGGCTGCATGGAGTGCCAGCTAGTATTGTGTCAGACCGTGATCCCAGATTCACTTCAGAGTTTTGGAGGGCGTTTCAGGCAGAGATGGGCACTAAGGTGCATCTGAGTACAGCTTATCATCCGCAGACAGATGGTCAGTCAGAGAGGACTATTCAGACTTTGGAGGATTTGCTGAGGATGTGTGTGTTGGATTGGGGTGGCCATTGGGCAGATCACCTGAGCTTAGTTGAGTTTGCATACAACAACAGCTTTCAGGCGAGTATTGGCATGGCTCCATTTGAGGCTTTGTATGGGAGGCCATGTAGGACACCCCTATGCTGGACCCAAGTGGGGGAGCGCAGCATGTATGGAGCTACTTATGTTCAGGAGACGACAGAGAAGGTTCGTGTTGTGAGGCTGAACATGAAGGAGGCTCAGGATAGGCAGAAGAGTTATGCAGATAGACGCAGACGAGAGCTTGAGTTTCAGGTGGAGATAGAGTTTATCTCAAGATGGCTATGTTGAGGGGTCCTAACAGATCCATAGCAGAGAACAAGCTGAGTCCGCGATTTATGGGTCCGTTTCCAGTAGTGGAGCGAGTTGGGCCATTGGCTTACAGGCTGGAGTTGCCTGAGATTATGAAAGCCTTTCACAAGGTTTTTCATGTGTCGATGCTGAGGAAGTGTCTTCACCCTACAGAGGAGTTAGTGGCTAGGATTCCAGAGGATCTTCAGCCAGATTTGACCGTGCCGGCAGTGCCTATGAGGATTTTAGAGAGGAGGGAAAAGGTTCTGAGGAACAAGAGGATTCCCTTACTGAGGATTTTGTGGGATTGCAGTGGTTCTACAGAGGAGACTTGGGAGCCAGAGGCAAAGATGAAGTTGAAGTTCAGGAAGTGGTTCGACAAGCAGGTCGAGGAGTGAGCTTATTTCATCTTTGTAGCCTCAGTTGTTATTTTTGGCTTTGGTGTTATTGTATTTTCGTTTTCGTTGTAACGATTACATTTTGGAGTTTTAATGAGATGCAGTTTTTCCTCATTTTGCCTTGTGTTGTGAAAAGGTATTCGGATGTTACACATGTTTGACCAGTTTTTGGTTGTGAGACGGTCTAATCTTATGGTTATAGACATTTTCCGGAATTTTTACTCTAAGGATTGCGATCCTGAATAACTCATCATGTTTTTGGAGACTTCGTTCTCTGGCAGACTCTCTGGGTGCAAGTAGGCCTCAGTTGAGTGTAGCTTATATGGGTGCAAGTAGGCCTCAGTATAAGCAGTTTAGTTCATCTGGGTGCAAGTGGGCCTCAGTATGGACGTTTTCGGGTTCGTCTGGGTGCAAGTGGGCCTCAGTGCGGACCGGTGTGGACTTGTCTGGGTGCAAGTGGGCCTCAGTACAAGTTGTTTGGTGTGTTTGGATGATGAGTTAGGAGTGAAATTTTCTTGGAACGTGTTTATGACATAAGATATGACGTTTGTCTCGGGGATCAAGTGAGGATCTCCGGTGTTGCGGCCTTGCGAGGTTGGGTTTTGTGGTCTTTGTGACGTTTGCGTTGGGATTCGAGGACGAATCCAGTTTAGTGGGGAAGAGTTGTAACATCCATAAACCAAAAATAAAAATTGGGAATTTTGTCGGTTCAATTTAAGTGAATTGGTTTGGGTCGGTTTAGTGGAGAAAGCCCTAAAATCAAGTTTAAAGAGTGCAGCCGTCTTCTCTTTGGAGAATTTTCGAGTTCAGATGCTGTAGAGGAGAAAAGTTGAGTTTTTGGAGAGATTTTCGAATTTTACTGTTCATCGGTACTGTTCATCGGTACTGTTCACGGGTTACTGTTCATCGGTACTGTTCACGGGTTACTGTTCATCCGCGATTCGGCACTGTTCATCGTCTTCCTTTTTCCTTCAGTTTCAATCATTGTCAAGGTGAGTGCATGACTGTGGGTCCGTGATTTGCTAGATTAGATTTGGTTTGTGGTTGTTCTTGATGAGTTTATGTTTTAATTGTTATTTTTATGATATTTTGGTTGTTCATGTGATGAATTGTGTGTTTGTGTGGTTTAATCTGGTTTATTGGTTTAATTGAATTTAATTGATTTAATTGGTTTATCTTGGTTCAATTGAATTTAATTGGTTTATATTGGTTTAATTGAATTTAATTGGTTTAATGAATTAAATAGATTTAATTCGGATTTAATTAATTAAATAATATTTATTTAATTAATTGGTTTAAAATAATTATTTTAATTATTTTAAAATATGGAAAATTATTATTTAATTATGAGAATTATTTAATAATTGAGAAATTGAGTTTTAATTATTAAAAATTATTTAATAATTGGAAAATGGTATTTAATAATTATTGAAGTTTATAAATATTATTAAATATCTAGTAAATTGCGTAAATGGCTCGTAGGCAGAGTGATTGCCTCACTAAGTATTTATTAAATACTTACGCAACTCCATTCCAATGTGTTGCAGGTAAAAGATTTGTGTGATCGCGGAATCAAGGCTGAAGAGGGGGATGATAGGATGTTTACTGTTTTATTGTTTTGCATTATTTTGCTAGACTTGTTTAATTATTATTTGCTTCCGCTGAGCTGATTTATTTGTTATTGATATTTTATTTATTTAATTTTTTTTAAGACCTTCGCTAGAATTGATTAATATTTATAAAAAAAAAAAAAATGTTGGTTGTTTCAACAACTACAGTCCTCCGCTCTACCAACTGAGCTAAGGTCGGTTTAATAGTATTAAACTTTCTTAGTATAGATGACAAAACAAAAGAATTTTTCATGAATTATTGAACTATATATGTATATGAAGAGTGCTATAAGAAAGGTTAGCTAGTCACTTGGATGGTAGTTTGATACGATCCAAAATAGTTAACCACTTGAATGCATGGAAAAACATGGTAATAAAAATTTCCTTGAAATCAATCAGAACTTTTATAAAACATTTACTGAAAACGTGAACGGCAGGATTCGAACCTGCGCGGGCAAAGCCCACATGATTTCTAGTCATGCCCGATAACCACTCCGGCACGTCCACTTTTCTTTGATTGAAACATGATCTTAAAAGAGATTAAGCAGGATGATAGTGTCTTTCCATAATGTAGGCAAATAGACGAGTCTATTAAATCTTTGATTCGTTTTAGCAACTAGGTGAAAATGAAATAAGGAACAAACCATCGAAACCTCTCTGAATCAAACTCAATAAGTTTACGAACAATTCTATTCATCGGTAGATCGATAGGGAGTTTTATTTCATTGGGATACCACTTACAAGTTAAACCCCAATTTTACTAAATCAAACTTCATTTTATATATGTAGAAAATATTTTCCTGTGGTCAACGATTGTTATAGAATAATTAAAAATGAACACATCAAATTCATGCAAGAAAATGGCAAAGGGATCTCACTACCCTTAAGCGAACGTTGACAGCTTTTTGGCACATGCAACGATCCTCTTAATGAAATGATCTTTCCATTTTGAGTATTCATTAGTGTCCTATAGTTTTGGTGTCTTATCAAATTCAATGAAAAAAGTCTATCTCTAAGATTTTTGTATATGACCATTTGTTGTACCATCAACAGGTGACTAAACACTCCATCGAAAATCAAGTACTACTTACTAGGAGCATATTTTCTTGTAAGCCTCTCGGTATTTCGTTGGTAAACCATTTTCATGTATATTTTTCTTTCGGCATCTAACGAATGGAAAACATTTGAGAAACCAAAATTCCGACCTACCGGATTCGAACCAGTGACCTAAGGATATTCTGCTTCAACTACAGTCCTCCGCTCTACCAACTGAGCTAAGGTCGGATTTGTAACATACTATATGCGAGTGTACATACTCTAAAAATTGTACAAGCTAGCAACACTTTTCATTGTTTATACAAGTATAACTTTATTCTTCTGGCAAAAGAACACAAGTTTTATTCGGAAAAAAAAAAGTAGTTCAGGACTTGGCGCCTCATCTCTTAGAGCATTCCCGTTAATCGGAAGAAATTGCAATGATTAAAGTTAACGTGAATTTTTCATATTGGATTGGCCTGCTTAACCCTAGCTAGCTTTTTCCTTTGTTGCCCGATAACAACCTCTTTAATTAAATCTTGTTTCGTTTTATAGAATATTCATTGATAAAGATGTGAATTATACTATATATGGTCCGTCAAAGTTACACACTTTGGCGGAGAAAATGCAAGATAATGAGAGTTTACTTACCTTGATTTCTTCCTTAAACGTAGAAGTTATAACTACAACACTTTTGTCTACCTTACCGTTTTTTGAAGATTGTCTGGAAAGTAACCAAAACTGCATAACTTATTATGATCAAATAAAAATATGCCCTAATTTCTATTAGAAACCCAAGTCAGTACTATATGCTACTACAAAGTATAATTTACCTCGCATATATCATATCAAACCGTTTTTAACTGAGGATGAAAAGTTGTTGAGCAAATGAGTTCCGACCTACCGGATTCGAACCAGTGACCTAAGGATTTTCTGCTACAACTACAGTCCTCCGCTCTACCAACTGAGCTAAGGTCGGTTTAATAGTATTAAACTTTCTTAGTATAGATGACCAAAACAGAAGAATTTTTCATGAATTATTGAACTATATATGTATATGAAGAGTGCTATAAGAAAGGTTAGCTAGTCACTTGGATGGTAGTTTGATACGATCCAAAATAGTTAACCACTTGAATGCATGGAAAAACATGGTAATAAAAATTTCCTTGAAATCAATCAGAACTTTTATAAAACATTTACTGAAAACGTGAACGGCAGGATTCGAACCTGCGCGGGCAAAGCCCACATGATTTCTAGTCATGCCCGATAACCACTCCGGCACGTCCACTTTTCTTTGATTGAAACATGATCTTAAAAGAGATTAAGCAGGATGATAGTGTCTTTCCATAATGTAGGCAAATAGACGAGTCTATGAAATCTTTGATTCGTTTTAGCAACTAGGTGAAAATGAAATAAGCAACAAACCATCGAAACCTCTCTGAATCAAACTCAATAAGTTTACGATTAATTCTATTCATCGGTAGATCGATAGGGAGTTTAATTTCACTGGGATACCACTTACAAGTTAAACCCCAATTTTACTAAATCAAACTTCATTTTATATATGTAGAAAATATTTTCCTGTGGTCAACGATTGTTATAGAATAATTAAAAATGAACACATCAAATTCATGCAAGAAAATGGCAAAGGGATCTCACTACCCTTAAGCGAACGTTGACAGCTTTTTGGCACATGCAACGATCCTCTTAATGAAATGATCTTTCCATTTTGAGTATTCATTAGTGTCCTATAGTTTTGGTGTCTTATCAAATTCAATGAAAAAAGTCTATCTCTAAGATTTTTGTATATGACCATTTGTTGTACCATCAACAGGTGACTAAACACTCCATCGAAAATCAAGTACTACTTACTAGCAGCATATTTTCTTGTAAGCCTCTCGGTATTTCGTTGGTAAACCATTTTCATGTATATTTTTCTTTCGGCATCTAACGAATG